TATGCTGAGTAACTTTGTCGTGGGCGTGCCGTACCTCTTTCTCATTACCATACTGTTCAGTGTGGTGAGTTACTGGCTAGGCAATTTCCGGCCCGGAGCCGACGGCTTCTGGATGTGGGTGCTGTGGTTGTTTTTGGATTTACTCGCCGCGGAGTCTCTAGTCGTTCTCCTCTCTTCGCTCATACCCATTTTTGTTGTTGCGCTGGCGGCGACGGCGTTTGCGAATGGCCTTTGGATGTGTGTGAATGGGTTTATGGTTCAGCCGGATACGCTGAATGTGTTTTGGAGGTATGTTTTTCACTATATTGATTATCAGGCGTATGTCTTTAGGGGCATGATGGTGAATGAGTTTGGGAAGAGGAGTTATGAGTGTGAGAGGTTGGAGGACGGGGGGTGTCAGTGTATGTATCCGAGTGCGTTGCAGGATCAGTGTTTGGTGGATGGGAAGGCGGTGTTGGCGGTTTATGGGTTTGGGATGGGGCATACGGGGAAGTATGTGGGGTATTTGCTGGTTATTGTTGTGGTTTATAGGTTGTTGGGGTGGGCGGTTTTGTATTTGCGGAAGCATTGAGGAGGGCGGCGATGGTAATCCTTGTTTTGCGATCTTTGCTTGCATCCTCGTAGATTAGACGAGACAAAACTGCTCTCGTTTCCGGATTCCTTTCTCCATCTCTTCGATCAATTCTCCATTCATGATCTCGTCCTTGTATACTTGGCCTAAGAGAAGATAGTTCTCGCCCCGTGGTCGTAGCGCAACTGGCGTATATGCTCCTTCTAGGGCCACGATAAGATCTCCTTCTCGTAGACAGACAGGTCCGAGGCCATAAGATCCGTCCTTGGTACGAAACAATGCCCATTTATGGAAGAAGCGGGACACAAGAGCTCCAAAAACTTTCCAACCAGTTCCAGCTTGACAAAAATCGTACTTGATTGTGCCATCTTCTCTTACATGTTTGGAAAGTACATATAGCAATCTGATCCAATCCAAGAAACTCTGTAAATATTCCGACACGGCTTCTTCGCTCGCTTCGTAGTAACTAAATTGGTATCTGACCTGTCCTCCAGTCAATGTCCGTGCCATAGAGATCATGGCGGGACTCAGATCTCTGCCCGTTGGGGCTTCTTCGGATACCTCCTGCCGCCAGTAGTCGAGAAGTATATCGACCGGGTATTCCAGAATAAGCTTCGTACTTTCAAGTCGACCCACATAGCTGAGGTCTGAAAACCTTTTTTGCACTATGATTGCGCAGGAAACAGTTCCATATACTGAACCGCATACCACAAGTTGCCGGCTACGTGGCTGTGTGATACCCTCGTTCGGCGCAGTAAACTCACATGTTCCGTATGCGCTGGACGTAGGGGACAGCCCACCCATCATCTGATCATGTGATACAGACTGCCACTGATTCCATTGAGGAACCCAAGACTCGTATTCTGGATGGCCGTCGTAGTCCACATCATGGTAGACGTGGCCAAAGATTGCAAGATCGCTAGTCCATCTAATAATTGCTGTGGCAGCGTCGTGGAAAACCTCTGCGATAGACTTTTCGTAATCAATGGGAATAATGGTCCTTTCGTCGCCTAGCTCTCTCAGCCCAAGTATACCATATACCTTGTCTCGAGGGTCCGTAGCATGCCAACGCCTGTAAGTGCTGAGAGCTTGTAAAAGACGACATTTGTCCGACGACAGTGGACCGTTCATTTTCCAGGCATAAGTCACGGAGGTTGTAATGAAGACCGGTCCTGAATGTCGACTATGATTCATCTGCCAGCTCGCTAGACGTACTGCAGTATACTTGGAGAGTTCTTCGGTTCCCCAGTAGTATACCAAATCAGCTGCTAATCTGAACTCTTGTATACACCACATGCGACGAAACCAAGGATTAGAAAAAAAGGCTTGCAGTGAATGCCATGGTACGGAAGCGGCGAAAGCTGCGCCTGCGTCTGGTAAGCGCCAATTGGAATCGTAATCCGTTGGATCACCATCGACCAATTCCAAAGATTCGAAAAGACGCCTGACGTTTGAGGTATGCTCATCCTCGACGGGGCCAAGCCAAACAACGACGCGTTTGGCGCGAAGATACGTTGAATCCATGCGACGGACCTGCGAACTCTTCTCTTCATCGTCAGACTGAGCGATGCACAGTGCATCTGCCCAGACAATCCGCACCTCGCTTGTCAGCCGCAGCCTCACAAGTGCATTGTAGAGGCTCGCGGTGACTAGGTGCGTTGTACCGTTGCAGAGAATCTCACGTCGGTCGTTTGAGTCGCCCCAGCAGTAGGAGAGTGCTTCATATGCGGGATTATCGTCGACCTCGTACTGGCGAAGCTCGCATAAGATTGGGGACTCGGGGGTTTGAGAGGGCAGTATGTGTAGCAGGCGCATCTGACCATTCGATAAACGCGTCGGATAGAGCGTCTCCATCGCGCAGAAGCGCTCGCAGGTCGAGCGACTGGTGAGTGGAAGACGGTGCACAATCTAAGCAAGCGCAGCAAAAAGAGAAGCCAGAATAAGTAAAACGGAATCAGCTGAGATAGCGGATGTTCTTCCCTGTGCGCTTCTGTAGTAACAATGGGTGCAACTTTGATGGATGTATTGTCTCAAGCGGGGTAAAATGGATGCCTCAAGTGGAAGCAGCGGCGAACAGAGGCTAGCCTGTTCTCGGCCTAGCCCGCAACTCCCCACTTTCGTGCATCCGGCCCGTCGATGCCCCGGAGGTCCTTCACTGGACAGCTCTTGCAAAATGACTCATTTTGTATCATCTCGCTACTGCGTATGGTCTCGCAGGTTTGCACTCCCATAATGATTGCCAACATCGGAATACCGTACAGCGATGATGTACAAAAGGCGCCGTGGCTGCCTCATCGTACTTCCCAGCCACCTCTCAGGCTTCCAAGGTTCCGCACCACGTACATCGGTCAACACAGTGTAGCGAAATCAGGTTACCAGCATGGGTACCTACAATCTTACGGATGAGAAAGGCCTCCAGAAATACCTCGAAGCGACCCAATTCCCAGCAGCTAGCGTGCAGCTCCTCTCAGGAGGCAATGCAAACTACGTCTTCCGCGTCACAAAGCACGACGGCTCCACAAGCATCTTCAAACATGCAGAGCCTGTCCTGAAATTCAACAAGGACTTTGCACTCGATCCTGCGCGCATGGATTATGAGGTCCGGATTCTAGAAGCACTATCTTCCACAGAGAGCCCTCTACCCACGAGCCCTACCATCTCGCACGCACACGCGGCGAAGTTTTTGAGCTACAATCGATCGGAAAAACTGCTCCGGATCGAGGATGGCGGGCGTCGTAATCTGAAGGACGCTTATACAGACCCGAAGCTCGACATGTTGTACATTGGAGAGCAGCTTGCGACATGGCTCGCTACGCTGCACACTGCAGCAAGGAACTTCTCGCTCGCTTCAGCGCACGAAGGACAAGACAGCAGCAACAACCCCATTGCTGTCAACGTATACCGATACTCTTACAACGATCTGCACACCGCGTTGACGCAGTTCGGTCACGACCCCCAGCTTGCCGATCTTGTCAATGAGGAGTTTGGCAGTCTACTTGCAATAGACGACGAGTGCCTATGCCATGGCGACTTCTGGCCTGGAAACATACTCGTCCGTGATGCTGAGTTGCAGCCGGTTGGGCTGACCATCGTGGACTGGGAGATGGTGCGTCGTGGCACCAGCGCAACGGATGTCGGTCAATTCGCTGCTGAGGCATTTCTTCTTGATCGCTTTCGGGGTGGTAGAGGGCTACTCGGTGTGTTCTTGAATGCATATCTCGCAGCTCGTGGGCATACAGAGGTGCTCGGCAAGGCATGGCTAACGAGGATGGTGGTGCATTGGGCAGTTCACATTGCATTCTGGCCGACTAGAATTGCATGGTCTGGTCAGGAAGAGACTAGGTCACTCGTTCATATTGGCGTTACCACTCTGCAGAATGTTCTCGAAGAGGATTGGGAGAAGGTCCTAGAGTCACCGCTATTAAGGGATGTGAAGGAGACGTACTCCACGCTACTGTCACGACCATGAGGTGTTTCAACGGTGAAAACATTTCGTCAAAGTTTTGCGAGTGTTTAGCTTTGATCTTTGGGGTCGAAAGCACCTGGGTGAGTACCCTTATTTCTAAAGATATTAGTTACTATCCTGTCATCAGACCCACTCTACTGATCACATGCTGAGGATGTGAGTAAATTCGTACCTAGTCATAAGAACCTTGCACCCATGTCTTGGATGGCTTCGTGAAGCAAACAAAGGTTTTTCACGCGGATATATAAGAACACATCATGGTCACCCCCAATTATCATCTATCATGTCATCGACCAACGCTATGTCTATACCACTCTCAACCGATGATGTCTCTCGAAATATAGGCCGACTCACGACTGCGATTGAAGAGATAGCACAGTTGCTACTTGACGCATTTATGCCACCTATACCGCCAACACAGGCAGCAGAGACACAAGTCTATATGTCAGCTATTGTGAACGGGTTTGTTCGTGCCTTAGTACAGGGAACCAACAGCACGAACGAGCAGTCATCACCATTGCAGCGACTTTACACCATGTTGCAGCAAAATCAAATGATCGCACCTGCAACCCCTTCAGATGTCCGGGTGTCAGACGCACGGCTGCTTGTTATTGTTGACAGGGCTGAAAGGTGGAGAGACTTAGTGCAAACGGTAGCGTTTGGGACCTCGGACGACCAAGAAGCCGCGTTGTTGGCGCTGAATTTGGACGAATAATCTAAGAAGATCCTGGTGTTGAGGACAATGAGATTGGCAGGAGGGGGGTTTGGGGTTATGGATGTGATAGGAGGGATTTAGACGAATAAATAGCAGCCGATATTGGCATAGGTAATACAGGTAGTTGGGATGCTGGTCCGAAGTCTCGATAGCTATAGGCTTGATGGCTACTCTGCTCGTCGTCACTAGTGATCTACAATCGATGATGCGTCCTGATCTTCCTGGCAACTTCCTTTCGATTTTCACAATTACTGCACCTTCTTCGCCCCCGATGCAATCTCAACGTCCGCCAATGCAGCCTCTCGCCAGAACCAGACAGCGGCAAGCGTCGCGCCCGGGCCACCACCACCTGTCAGTGCCGCAATAACAAGAAAGCTCTCGAAGATATTTTCGAGCGTAGCCTCTCCGTTCCTCATCCGCTGCACATCGCAGACAGCGACCCAAGACGGGATGATGTACATTAGTCCGATAATGAGCCAATCCCACTGGAAGATGAACAGCAAACCCCAATCAGCGTTCCTCTTCCAGGTATAGGTACTTGGTAAGAAGACGCGGGCGTACGTAACATCGGGGTCTGTCGATAGGGAAATTCCACGGATGGCGTACCAATGAGTTGCGACACAAAGAACGAAAAGGAGAGCGTAGAGGACTTTAAGATGTCGAACGTCGGCATTCCTGCTGCTCGCGGTAACGGTGGTCGAGGTACCAGAGAGGGAGACGAGCCACATGGGGATGCCGGTAAGGATGGGTGTAAATTGCCAGAATGCTAGGAGCTTTTGCACCCTGTCTGCGCTTTGGTCGGGAAAGAACAATGCGACCGTAGGCACAACGTAGAACAGGAAAACGCCCGGTAGGATCACGCGCGCGTAAGGCAACGGGACAGTGCGTCCGCTCTCAAAGTAGGCTTTGGGCTGCGAGACGCGATGGAGGAGTAGCCACCAGATAGTGACGATGCAAGCTGCTCCAACATTCTGATAGACGAAGGCCCAGATGGAAATACTGCAGAATGTCAGCTTCATCCCGTTTCTCCAAATCCTACATTGGCAGACCTACTATTTCAGCCAACTATTCTGGTTTCGCTGCCGGTACGCCTCCACATTGTTGATCGTGACAAGGGCCGTGATTTGGATGAGGAAGTAAAGCTGTTGCCAGTAATAAGGCTCGTTCCATCGCATCGGGCCGGATAGAAAGGCAGCCACCAGGAAAGATAGACCTTCGTCCACCAAGTGGATGCCCGTGTAGTCCTTCTTGATAGGCACACCATTTGGGAAAACGCCCGATGCTGCTATTTCTAGAAAGCCCACAGGAATATCGTTCATCGCGGTCGTGATGCGCATCGTATAGAACCCGAGCGCGGCCAAACAGGCCATCAACGCCAGTAGCGCATTGTTGTTTGGGCGGCCGACGTTTGCTGTTGATGTTGCCATGGTGGGCTATTGCTGACGCTCAGGACACCTGGTGTGTAGTGGCAGACAAGTTTGGTTTTATTCGTCGTCCCGCGTAAGTGCTCGGCTTCACTTGGCGAGCTTCGCCCTCCTATTAAACTCAATACGGAGAATACGGACACCTATTACTTGCGGGGCTTGCTTATGTAAAGCGGCTGGAGGCCCGGCGGGCCCATTGCTGCTTGGCCGTGGCGGTCTGAGCGGCCTTTTCGTTATCAGGCGATGCTGTAGCGTGCCGATGTTGTCGCGAAGCAACGAGGAGAAGACAACAGGACCCGGAGCGTTCGACGATGGTCCAGTGCGGACGAGGAATGTCTCACGTGACCCAAGCATAGTCAAACAGCTTTGTCATGTGACCCTGGAAGATTGCCGAGGTCGGTCCGCGCCGGACAGATCTATACGGGGTTTATCCGGAAATCGAACTCATAGGTGAGACAAAAGTTTCCTATCAAATGGAGCGAATGTCGTTTTTAATGTCCCTGAGTGTTGTTCCAGGTAAGTATACCGAATGTATGGTTCGGGCCTTCCGGCTAAGCGGCACACTCGATGGCCGGAACGTGTTTCAACGGCGTTGGTGTTGATGGCCATCCGGTTTTGGGCGTGACGTCAATGCACCGCTTCATGCTATGCCTCCATCGATATTCCTTTTCAAAGAGCAAATTCCACGGTGCGAATAGAAAGAAAAGCTGCATCTGGCCCAAAAGAAAAGACGGCTCGCATCGCTTTGCGGGGTGATGTGCAGCAGTGGTACCTGCCAAGCACTCAACGCGATGAAGGCGGACGCGGAGGTGCCGAGATCGCGTCCTCCACGCGACGCTAGGGGAGTGATGTCATAGCACCCTTTCATCGCCTTTCGACGCAAGCTGGAGCAAGCACCACCAAGAATCTCCGTCTTATGCATGGACGCCACCAGATCGAGTATGGCGCATCCAGTTTATGATGCGCTCTCCAGCGCTATTACGCATTGGCGCCCTCCAAGTCTCGGAACCTTGGCTGCCAGGGTTTGACAGCGCGTCGCGTCTTCCCTCTTGTATGCTTGTCTCTCTTGTCAAACCTTGCCTGCATCCTCTTCCTTACTCCCATTCACAACGATACCCCAGAGCCCCTAAAAGGCCCGAAAGTCATACAAAATGGTTGGAGGCAGACGCAACGTCCTAAACAGCCACGACAACAGCAACGGCAATGCCAACCGTCGCCACAATGTCGAACAGTTCAGCAAGTACCAGCGCGTCGACCTGGAGAGTGGATATGGAGCGATTACCCCCGTCAAGCCGAAGCGTAGATTTCGCGATGCGATTGAACAAACCGTCAAAGACAACCGCGCCAATGAAATGAAACAGAAGTTGATCGACAACATCGACCATGAAGCGCTCGAAATCTACAGGAAGAGTGACGAGAGCGTATGTTGCAAACGATCAAACTGTTCTTACAGATGCTGACATCCAACCTCAGCTCAAATCTATAAAGAACAAGAAGGTACGCGGTTTCTACGAGGAGCAGAACGAGCGCCTAGACGACTGGGCCGAAGTCGACATGGTTGTTTCTTCACTCGCCGACGATATCGTCGATAGTATGAACCCGCGAGACGTCGATGGCGATGGCGTGGCAGAAGACCGGGGACCATTGGGTAACAGCGGAGAGGACTTGGAACCTTTTCTACCCGAGGAGGAGCGCAACAAGCGAGCAAAGTCCGCTAAGCACGCGAGATGGGCGATCAATGTAGGTCCCAAAATTGAAACATGCCTTCCCAAACTAACAGAGTACAGATCAACGTAATCGTAAATATCCTTCTCCTCGCGGCCAAGGGTGTAGCAGCCATTTGGTCCAGCTCCCTCTCCTTGATTGCATCCCTCGTCGATTCGGCCCTTGACTTGCTCTGCACCGTCATCATCTGGACTACCAACAAGCTCGTAAGCTGGCGTGTGGAGGGTTTGCGAAAGAAGTTCCCGATCGGCCGCCGACGTCTCGAACCAATTGGCATCCTGGTCTTTTCCATCCTCATGGTCATATCGTTCCTCCAGATTCTGCAAGAATCGGTCAAGAAGCTCTTGCCAAGTGGTGACCACAGTGTATCTCAACTGCCACCAGCTGCCATTTTCGCCATGGTGGCTACAATTGTAGTCAAGGGTACCATTTGGGTAGGATGCGCAAGAGTCAAGACAACACAAGTACAGGCCTTGGCCCAAGACTGCAAGACTGGTAGGCTCATTCCCTTCACCTCTTGGAATGCAATAACTGACAAAATCAGACGTTATCTTCAACACGCTCTCCCTCTTGTTCCCGCTCATCGGAGGCCACGTCGGCGTCTGGTGGCTCGACCCTCTTGGCGCAGCTTGCCTTTCGCTTTTCATCATCTACGACTGGGCTTGCACTTGCTTCGAGAACGTCACCCGTTTGACCGGTGAGCAGGCCAGCGACCGTGTGGAGCGCAAGATGATGTACATGGCATACCGCTTCTCGCCCCTCGTCGAGGGTTTCAAGAGTCTCAAGTGCTACCATGCGGGTGACGGTGTCTGTGTGGAAATCGATGTACTCATGAAAGAGGAGACGCCGTTGAGGAAGTGCCATGACATTGCGGAGACCCTGCAGTACTGTCTAGAGGGCCTGAACGAGGTCGACCGCGCTTTCGTTACTATGGATTGTGAGTGTTCCAATCGAGAGAAGAGTGGTTGTGGATATAAAGCTAATATCTTGCAGACACTTCCCAAGGTCCTACAGGCCACGCCGGCAGCTAGGTCTATGGATTTGAGCGATTCGCATTCGGCGCTGTCATTGGCTGGTCGCATAGCATACATGGCGTTCAGTCAGTATCATACATACCTGTGTTTTTCTCATCAGTTCCAGCGTACTAGCATTCGATTTTCCAATATTACAATCAGTACAACCTTACAACAATCACTATTGTCCCTCTACGTCATTGCTTCGTTTGCTAATTCACGCTATGACCTTTTTTTAGGTCGCGACAAGCGCGTGACGGTCAACACGCGGAGCCGGTGACCTAATAACAACAAGTCCAGCTCCAAACCATTGTGCTCATTTACAGAGAGACCGTATTAGCAGCCCTTATCACTCTCCCGCAATCCTTCTTTGTCTCCAAAGACACACGCGCGAGCGTACCCGCACACGACTCAACCACACTTCTTCGCCGACGCCATACTCTTCGAGAATGACTCCCACCTTGCCCAGCAATCGCGCCGACTTCCTCGCCCACGGTCTCGAGCTCGCCGAATGCAGCATCTGCAGAGAGCCATTCGATGTCGCTCATTGGCCGTACCAGATTCGCGATTGTGGACATGTGTTCGGAAAGATCTGCCTAGAGGCGTGGCTGGAACAGTCGGACACCCAGGGCACTTGTCCACAGTGCAGAAGCGTCCTATTTGAAGCAATTTCCGCATCTGAAATTGCTGAGCTGCGACGCGAGCGTTCCGAATTACGCGATCAAGCTTTGCTGGGACATAATCTCCGGTTACTCAACGTACATGACAGGGACGGGCTTTTGGTCGCGCTATGGACGGAAATAACAAATGCCTTTGCGCCAGATGTTCGAGAGCCATATGAGAACGCATGGACCCCGCGCATCATCGGCCTGATTCAATACCTGCTTGAGGGGCTCGGTCTACCGAACCACCACCACGATCACGTGGCTTTGTCTCTTGCGGTGCGAGAGACGAATGCCCGTGAACTCATATTATGGGATGCACCGCTGACTCCGCCGCTCGGCTATGAGCCCATCTGTCAGTTATCGAAACAAATGATCGAAGTTTCACGCATCTTCCCTCGCCAGGTCATCCCCGATCCGATCCTTTGGCGCGCCATGATCTGTCGTTATAACTTGGGAGGCCTTGATATTGCAGTCTGTAATTTTGGAGATGACAGAGATTGGATGTTAGGTTATTTTGAAGATGACAGAGATCGGATGTTAGGCCCGCAGTCTGACGAATCTGATTGGGACGACCTTGCATCGATCTTGTATTTGCTTCTGGTCCTCATGGCACAAGACTCTAAACACAATCTCCGGCCGAACGACGACTACGACGCTGAAGATGTGGAGAGTTTGTTGCGAGTGATAGATACAAAGATCACGTATGGCGAGTCCCCGCTGTTGCACAGCGGCAACATCTCGAGAGACTACTGTGAGAGGGTAGCTCGCTTTCATCGTATAGCGCAGATCAACAACCCACGGACAATTCCCAGTCAAGAGGTAGCCGACCCGCACACGAGCGAGGAACTCGTTTTTTGCCATGTCAGGGACTTTTGGTTGAGCTCTAGGGAGTCCTGGACGGCCGAGACTCCTGACAGAGAAGCATACGATACGACAGACTACGATGGACCATACGGAGGTGAACGGACATAACGATGGGCCTGGAGCAGATGATGATGGATGGCGCACTCCGAAGACGGTAGCAGACATTGTGACAGATGACTAGATGTGATATGAGATCGAAGGAGGTTTCATTGGGAGCGTATGGCGATGCCGATGGACCAGACGCAGATGACGGCGTGGCCCAACAGGCGATTGGGAGAGCATGACAAAGGTCGCTAGAACAGTTTATGCAGTATCCAGGGAGACATGAAGGTTACAAGCAGTGTATTAGACCTCATGAGTAGAGGTAGAAGATCACTTAGCTCTCATAATGCATCACAATACGTCGTTAATGTGGCTATGTTCATTTCTCATTCGCTGTGGTATCTCTAGTCGAACGCAAACACGAAAAGCAAGGAAACAAAGCTAGGCAAATAGGAGGTCCTCGCCCGAAGACACGTCCTAATTCCATGAACTGCGCGAGAAGAACTAGAAACAGAAACGGCAACCAGAATAGAATACATCCGTGGAGAGACACTGCCTTGATACCAAGAATTCAGTCACGACTCCGTTTAACGCGCTCGCTGCTCTCAGAGTCAGCAGGCCCTCGTGCGTCCCTCTTCCTCATCGCAGTACGCTCCTGCTCTTCAGTAGGCTCAGCGGGCTCTTCTCGCAACCGCTTCTGGACTTGCGCATTGTCATCGTGCTGGATGTCAGTGAGGCTGCGCTTGCCCTTGGAGGGAACTGCCGCTCCAGCCTCATCAGCCTGAGCCGAAGCAGTCGCTTGCCCCACAGCTAGGTTCTGATCAGCCCTCCGTTCGGCGATCGATTTTCCCATGTTGTTCAGGTCGCTCCAATGCATCTCCGTATCCTTCATGTACCTCTCGTACTGTTCCTGATCGTTCAACCTAACCCTCCAGCGGCTGTTTTTCTCGAAGTAATGGCGCTCCTCCGCCATCGCGAGATCTTTCATTTCGTCCCAGGTCAGGCCGCCATCACCATTCTCCGCAATCTTCAATTTAAGATTGCAGTCTGAGATGCTTTGGAAGAGAAGTTCGAGAGGTTCCTGGCGATGGGTGCGGCGTATTGTTCCATATGAGTCTTTCTCGACCTTTACATCTCGAGCAGCCAGGGCTTCCATACACCTCCATACAATCTCTTCGCTGCCACGAGGGCTCACGTCTTCTACGAGAGCTTGTATGATTTCGACGGTCTTTTCGACATCTATCATCGGCTTGCCGTTGCTGTCGCAAGCTTGGAACCGGGGTTGTTTGGTGAGATAATCCATCATGACTTCGATGTCTGATGATTTCTCGAATGAGATGTTGAACTGGCCTTCAAACATGTCTGAGGCAGAATTGAGTTTGTTTTGCTCGTTCTTGTTCATCATCTTTCTGCGCGCTTCGATCAGCAGTCCGATGAATTGGTCTTTGATCGAAGTCTCAGGAGGAGCGGGGAGACTAGCTGACTGCGCGATACTGCTGGCAGCAGTCTGGGAGGCGCCAATGTGCTTGCTCTTAGCAGCCTTTTGTGCGTATTCCTTCACCCTGGTGTATTCTGCATTAGTCATCAGACTGTTCTTCATGGCGAAGTCGAGGTCATTGGCTAGCCCTCTCGCAGACTCTGCTCCACCGATATATTTGATAATCTCGTCCCGAATTCGGTTTTGCTGCTTCTCTTGCACCATCTGTGGAAGTGCTTGTTTCAGGATGACGTGAAGATCAGGAAATAGTGCTAGCAGATATTCGGCTTTGCCGTTCGACCAATGGTTGCTTGTGTTTGCCTGGACCCTTAATCTCGCTCGTGATTCAGTAGTGGTCTCAGGCGGGGGCGCGTCGACCATGTTCTGCTCCTCGGTATCCACGCGGCTTGTGACTTGGACATCGTCCATATCGTCTTGTACCACGCTGGAGATATCGCGAGAAGCTGGCGGTGACTCTATCCCGTCCATGGTCTGGCCGAACTCTGCCCGCATGTTTTGAGAGTCGACCGGACGAGAATGAGTAAGTTCTGGGATGCAGACTTCCATCGCTTCGGTTTGCGATGCTGCTCCAAGGACGATCAACAGCTCACTAGTACTGACATCGCGGTCTGTGATATCTGTCGAGTGTGTCTGTTCATGGGTGTTGGGCTGGTTCTCATGTACACTGGAGGCGGTAACGTGGACGACGCCGTTGTTATCGTTGCCATCCTCGTTGGTGTATTCGGTAACGGGCAGATCTGTTGTACCGTTGTCATTCTGGGGGGCCCTTGTAGGCTCAATGAAGGATGATTGCTCTGCCGAGACTGCACCATCAGGCGCTTTGACTTCAGCAGGAGTGCTCTTGTTGCCACTGACAACGTCGTGTAATTGGGTGGAGTCTTCTACTCCGTCAATGACTTGGTCAAGCTCAGGAGACAGTGACGCCTCCGTAGTGCAGGTGCTATAACTGCTGACCGACGAGAATAGCGACGAGTCGTCGGATGAATCATCGGAGGATTCCTCGTCACTGGAGATGTCTGGTAAAGGAGTACTACTGGCGTACTCAAGGATGGATACCACGCGGGGTTCATGGAGAAGGATGCGCTCTTCAGCCTTCGAAAGGGACGGCAGTGGCTTCTTGCTCGCGACATCCAGATAGTACTCGTCAAAGGTTTGTTGAGGCTTCAGAACTTTGAAGGCGGTACATAGGTCCTCGAACACGTCTTTATGTTGCCCGGTAACGTTCTCGTACTGCTGGAGGTGTGACCGTGCGACAATAGCAGAGCGGCGTGATCTCTGGTTGCGAGAAGCCTTACGAGGTCTCGACCTGGGGGTCTGTTTTCCGTCAGTCTGGTGATTGCTCATGACGCGACGCAAGACTTACGGTGTTGTTGTCCGCCGGTGATGTCTCGGTGCGCATCGCTTCCTGAACTGAAGCAACGACGACCGGTATCATCTTGGCGAGCATCTGTTCCAGCGCGCCAGCCTCGTAGATCGGGCGGAGCGCGGCGAGTAGACGGGAAACAATGCGTTCCTCCATAGCCTCCAGATACTCAACCAAATGAGGGGACAAGGGACCGTCAAATGAGAAGACGGGGGCAGATTTTGTGGTAGCCATTGCAAGAAGATACAGTTCGATGGGAATAGAGGTGCCTGACAGAAGAATTGTGTGTAGTATTGCAAGAAAGTAGGTCAGACTCGCGGTGTGATACGACTGAGCGGGGTATTGTGACTAGAAAGGTCGTGAGAGCGACGCTTTGGCCAAGATATCGCGTGCGACAGGGATCTGTAGGACTGCAGCGACTGAATACCGACTTTCATTGAGCCAGTAATATCTTTGCGTGACTGAGTCCAGGTGAATGCGTCATAACAGCAAAACGTGCGAACGTGATATACCCAAATAGGATATTCCAGGCGTAGAGATCCAGCAATGTCCAATCAGAGATAGCGCTCGTAAAAATCTAAGAAGTGCGAGAGACGAAGCTGTGACTTGTCATCGACAATAGCAAGTCACCATACACAAGCGGTCATAAAAGCGGTAGCTTCAAGAAAGTGAAAGAGGAAGGGAAAGATACAGACGCATCTCTCTGACGTCAAGCCTTGGGATACATCGCGCATCTCATAGGCGAAACAACGCTCGAGGATAACGTCTTTGCCCTTTCCCAAGCAGCCCTGAGATGACAGAAGGGTGATCTTGTAGTAGATATAGTGACGACGCGAGTTGTAGCTTATAGGATGGTAGAGAATGTGCTACTATCCTTGATCTGATTACCGACACGCTGGAATACGAAAGAAGGGGTGATAGACTCTGAAGACACGATCCGTAGATGACATGGGATGAGACTGATGATATGTAAAGATGAACAGGACAATTAGAAACTTCTCCGCTCACGCACCTGCGTACAGGTGGCCCAGAGATAATGATGGTCAGGCAGCTAGGATTTCAAGCACTTTCAGCCAGATATCTGGGCTTAGACTCTCAATAGTGATCTATCGGCATCATGCCCTTCCTCTCACGCTGCCTGACAAAGTGTGCTATGAGACGACGCGTGCGGCCCATTGTCGCTTCGCTTACGTCAACTCGATCGTTCTCGGGATGGAAATAGCGGCAACGAATTGTAGGATCTGGGGATGGCGTCGTCGCGTGAAAGGTGCTTGAGATGGGGTGGCTGGAGAGACGCGTTGGAGTTTCGGTTTGGATCGAGCATTACGTCATATCTGAGTAATCATGCGTCCTCTCCTTACGCGCGACGCGACGCGACCCTCATCCCACCGTCCATCGCGATGCACGTCGACCTACAACGCAAACTAACGCCCGAGCGCGCCTCCACGTGAAGAAGACATTCATACTTTTCGCGAATCCTTGCAGACTCTTTGGCCACCGCGTCTTGCTTCCAACGCTGCTTTACTACAGCATCCTTTGCCCCACCTCACAATGATCATCAGTACAGCTTCGCAAAGTCTACTACATCCCAATGGTAGGTTTTGACCCATTTGTCTATCCTCTAGCTCTGGTTCGGACTTCCTGTGTAAGATGGTCTCGAGAGGCTTAACATAGCGTTTCGGGCTGCCGCATAGACTGGTAGGTGCTCGCTTCCATCTCCACGCAGCAGCCACGTCGATGTGTCAGCCAGCACCGCTCGGTATCTCTACGATCTAGTACTCCGATACACAAATATCGATTTGCGCGCCTTGTCTGACCTATCTGGTGTTGGCAGCCAAACATGGCCAACACGTAACACAAAAATAGCGGTATTCGGTGACGCTAGACCAGATCCAGCGATGCTTACACATGCTTACATTGCGCTGGTGGCTTCAATATCACACACCCCGTGCGGTCGATGGAGGTGTCGGGGTTTATCAGCTACGAAGTATAATGTGGTGTGTGGAACACTTAATCAAAGCTTCAACTCCAGTTACATGGCAATCTCGACAAGATGGTGAACGTCACCAATGCCAATGGCATCACCGGCGCCAACTTCGACGTGTTCGGCACTGATCGCGTTCTTCCTCGGGCAATGACAGCTTTCACAGCCATCGCGTGGTACAACTCGATTGAGCTCATCATCCTCATCTTCGTCGTATTCAGACGGTACACCGGACTATACTTCTGGAGCTTGATAGTAAACACACTCAGCATTGTGCCGTATGCGACAGGTAGACACAAGCTTCTGGAGTTGCAGTGGTGATGGCTAACTCAGTCTCCAGGGGCATGGATGAAACAAAACAGCGTTGCACATGACCCTCGCATTTACAATACGCTCCTCACGCTCGGATGGATATTGATGGTGCCCGGACAATCCATGGTTCTGTACTCGCGCCTACACCTGATATCGCCGAACCTCAGGCTTCTGCGATTCATCTTTTGGGTCATCGTTGTTTCAGCAGTATGTCTTTGCGTGCCAACCGTAGTCCTGAATCTACGGTTATTCACCAATCACCCAGAGCGATACCTTCGCGGCTACATGGTCATGGAGAAGATACAAATGACACTCTTCACCATCCAGGAGATCTCGATATCCTGCATCTACCTATGGGAAACCCGCAAGCTGATGCGCGTTATTTTCGACGGAAAGGCCAGGAAGTGGATGTGGCAGCTCGTCGCAATGAGCGTTCTCCTGTTGATACTGGATATTGCGCTACTCACAACGGAATTCTTGAACCTCTACATGATACAGACGACCTTCAAATCACTTGTTTACAGCTTCAAGCTTAAGATTGAGTTCGCAGTACTCAGTCAAATCGTTCGCGTCATCCAAGATCGTACGAACTCTAGCCGCTCAGACCTAACGCCCGCGTCGGATTTGGAGCGCCAACTCAACACCCGAAAAACAACGTCTAGTCAGGTGTCAGAGGTAGAGAGCTTGCAACACAATGTACCACTTGAGTGGCGCTTGTCGAGAGAGGCTACATCTTTTGTTTCACCAGTCGCGCTCACTATGGCGAAGGGACGTGAAGTCAAAAGTGCTAGATGTAGCGTCGTGTCTATAGACGCGATGTATCCTGGGAGGTTGGGATAATAGCGTGATAGGCATTCTTTGGTCGAGTGGACGACGGCGGTCGATCGACGCGAGGGATACGACTTGGAACTTGCTGCAGTTACGTATAGAAGCCTCCTAGACTTGTGAGCATTGGCGGGCGCTCCAGCCATTCTCAGCAAGGGCCTCACCTATTACCACGCGTCATTAGAACAGTCCGCAGTGTGCTTCATACCCTCGACCTTAGCAATGCTTCTTCGGCGTTGTCAGGTCAGCGTACCGCGACCAAGCTTTTTCTCTGGGCAGCGAGTCACGTCCTCGTTTTGAGCAAGATTGCGGAGCTCCAGTCCGACATGTCCGTGGTCTGCAGCTGCTCAGTGAAAACACAACTAAAGCAGGATATCGATGAGCTTTGGTTAGAGACTATGGCGACGGGCGCGCACGAGGTCGCTGTGTTTCCGGAAAGTTGCTAGAACTGTGGTTGAGAGCTACCATAACAGCGCTCTCAGTTTTGATACCGGACGGTGTCACAGGGATGGGGATGGTTTAATGTGGATGAATCATGTGAAGAGGAGACATGACATCGAGTTACTGTCATTATGGAGTGTAGCGAATCACAACTTATAACGCTATTGCAAAACTGTGAACATGCGACAAGGTTATCGGTAGTACATGCATCAGCTACAAAGTGTGCACATGTGTACCCGAAGGTGCTCGCAACATGTCTTGCCATGTCCTCTTCGCTGCAAGACAAGCCGCTGAGAAAACGTGGGTGGGCGCGAACCACATGTTGAACAAGACTTAGTAGTCAGGCATCCCATCACACCATTCCGCATCCTCCATGTACCACCAGGTACCCTCTTCTTTCCTGGCTGAAGTTTATCCAAGCTTGAAGGTGTCGCCACTCCAGCCATAGACACGCGCTAGCCGCCGTCCAAAGCGCTTGGCCATGATGTACGGAATGTCGCTGCCGGGATGCGGCTCGTGAAACTGTATGTTTCGATCAGCATCCAATGCATCTCCAGGTGCAAACTGCCAGGCTGAGCCCTGGAGCTTCTCAACTGAGAACCCGACGCGTGCCATAGCTCGCTTGAACTCGACCCACTTCACACCCTTGGGTAAGTCGCCAGTCTCGGAAGTGGGTGTATGAAAGAGCGTCTTGAAGACCTTGTGTGCGCGCTGGTCGACGAGAATGGTTGGCTGTGGGGTGGCAGTGGCGTTGCTATCGGGTGGCAGTGCAGCCAAGTCGTGGGCGACGGTAATAGTATCGCCGCGAGTCTTGGCCTTTGTCTTCTCCTCGATGGCCATGCGATCAAATGCGCCCGTAATCTCTAGCGTCTTGCTGTGTACCATGCGAGACAGCGGCTGGTACACATACTCAGGCTTCTCCTTTGGTGTGAGTTTGATGGCAACTGGATCGACCCAAGGAGGAGTCCGATAAACATCTCCACCTTCTTGTAGGCACTCTCGAATTAGTCGGTGTTGAGAGACGCCCGTCTGCTTCTCAAAGTATTCATCAATCATAGCCCAGAGCTGATCCAAGTTGGCCTCGGCTTGCCGTACAGCGTTAACGTTCTCGCGCGTCCTCCGCTTATGGACTGGATAGTTAAGCTTCTCCCTGAAAGGTTGTACAATTCCCATTGGGACAGCGTAATCATGGATCTTCTTGTTCCATTGTTGGAACTCCTCCACCTCGCTCAGCATCAATTGGTACGTACACGTGTGATGGCAACGTTCGGCCGCGACTTTTGGTGACTTCTCCCATAATGAAAACTGGCGAAGACATTCTGAGAGAACTGACGTATCCGTGATCAGGTTCAGAAGCCTACTGGACATCATACTGGTAGCTTCGGGGCTCGTTCGAAGTCGATGATCCAATCTTTCTAGAGCTAAAGAAACAAGTGCCGGAGTTGATAGGGTACTCATACCACTCAGTTCGTCCACTAAGTCTCTCTGTGCGCTGGAAAAAGGCTTCTTCGGTACGAAATGTACTTCTCCCGTTTCGGTATTGGTTTTGGGGTGTAGAAACTCGCGAATTCTTGGCGCATTGAATGTAACGTTGTCGAGCTTCGTCATAAGCACATTCTTCGTGCTTTTGACTGCTAGCCGCGCTTCCCCGACTATGTGAGCCTGATCATGAAGACTCATGTCGCTCTTCAAGACATCGGGAAGCTGTGCGACCCGACGATCAATCTCAGTCCAAAACGAAAACATGCTGTATGCCTCGTCGAGAATGTACATCATGCATGCACTCTGGTATCTGTCAATGCTACCTCGCTGAAAAGGCTGTAGCAAAGCGTCCTGATCTTTATAAGGTGCATGCTGCTCGAACTCCCACAGTGTATCCGCGAAGTAGCCTGGGTCTTCCCTCATTGCTCGAATGTGCTCTTTCTGCGCATCCAAGATAGCGCTGACGTAACCCTGGAGTCTTACGAAATTGACAGAGTCCCATCCAAGGTATGGTGCAGCCAGCAGGACATTAGAGAAAGTCGCATGTCCAATTTCATCATCCTCAAGCAAGTCTACCGGCGGAGGCTCGTCTTGGATTGGATGATCGAACAACTGCTCCCATGGAATGTCATGCAGAATGGCAGTAATACATTGAACCAGGAAGCTCAGTATGTACTCCTGCATCTTTAGCACTCGAATACTTGATCGTGCGCACATCTCGAAGTAGTCCTCGGTAGCGCGTGAGTCCTGTCCGGGGAGTCGATCTCGAATGATCTTGCCGTAAGTTGCTGGATCGGGGTCTCGGGAGAACATGATACCGACTCCTTCGCAGAACTCTAGATCGGTACATGGGACCGTCCTGCCTAGAACGAGAAACTCTTCCTCAATACATGCGAAGGTCCAAGGCAGTTTACGACCTCGTGCATTTATGAATGCAAGCAAGGGTCTGCTCTGTGTAAGACTTTTGAGGTTGACTATGCTGTGTCAGAAATGGCTTAGGGTATCTTCACGTAGGGCTTCAAACTCACTGAAAGGTATCGTGCTAGTCAGAGCCTGAGAAAGATGATCTTGAGGCATGTGTGGCATTATAGCGAGCAGTAAAGCACGACGTTTGTGGCGCGACATCTTGATCCATCTCTTTCTTATCAAGAGTTCGTGGCGAAGTACAATCATATTCAAGGCCTCGTAGTTGTCCGTGACCCGGTGGCCAAGTTTCGCAGCGTGATACTCAATGGCATCGATTGTCGAGGGCGCGACGGTTTCGTTCTTGTCTAGGATTTGCTCCAGTTGTTCGAGCGACATCGGTTCTGGTCTGCATTGCTTTGTTAGTGAGCTCACAAGAAATAATCGCGCTAACTCACTGCATGTCCAACGGCGGACCTGCGGTGGCTTCCATGGTTGCGACTGCCTTGTGGGGTAGCGTGGACGTTCGCAAAACTCTTCTGAAAATTGAGAAGTATTGAGCAAACGCGTTGGGCGGGGAAACGTCGCGCCGGCGGCGGTAGCAGTAGCAACAGGCCGCGCGGTCTACCCAAAGAGCAGACAATGACTCAGCGAGGTGAAGGCATAATAACCCAGAAATTGGACGCCGTCATCAAATTGATCTAGTGCGCAAGATATGCGAATGTCGCGTACAGTGATGTACTGAAAGTGAAGGTGAGTAATGTGCTTCATCTAAGCTACCATTTTGGGTTCTCACCTTCTGGTCGCAAGATCAGTGAGAGGATACCTACCTAAAGGTCGCGCAACTTGCAGCCAGCCGGCAAAAAGAACTTCTAAGGACAGGGAGGCCCTTGATAGGTTTCGATGTTGGATTTGAGGAGTAAGGCGATGTGTAGAGATACCTTATACGAGCGCTGAAGATGCGGCCTTTCCACGAGGAACTCGGCCCACCGATAGCGCTCAGAATACATATCCTCTCTCATACATGAATGAAGGCATACGTGCGCTTCCAGGTGCGCGTAATGACCAGATAAGGCATGTTCGTGGTGAGTGTAGAGGGTCTCGCATGACGTTGGTTCAGGTGAGACGATGTCGTTGATGCTCGAGAAGCGCAGAGATGTCGCTGACCCAAACAGGTATGCCGCCTGTTACCTTCTCTTCAGATAATCTTGACTTGTCGAATGGGTAGTGCTTCGAGGAAATCGCTGAGCATCTTGCAACCATCTTCTCCAGACAATCCGAGCCTCCGTTTTGGTTCGATCTCGATATTGATAGTTCCCATTCTCTTGAAGCTGCCATCGGTCAACTCTCGCAAAACAAGCCCAAAACAACGGCCACCGAAATTTGGGCAAATCTTCATCAGAATACTGGTGAAGGTGTCTCCAATCGTGACAGGCGGGTTATCGGTGGCCCAATCGAAGTCCATGAACGCATCACACGACTTCTTCACTTCATTGCCCTCACATGGGGGACGTATAATCTCCATACAATCACCATACAGGACTTCTGGTTCAAGAACCTGCTTGAGTCGAGTCATGCATATGTGGCCCTCTAGAGTGATACTGGCATTCGTGACTTCGCCGATATGAGCCGGCCCGACCCGAGTAAAGGATAAGTCAAGTAGCCTCAGAGACGGAACGGTCGATCCGCTGTTCCAGCGAATATTGTCTCGCGAGGACGGCCACGACCACGTTGGAATGGAGTTTGGAAGACGCGGCAGCAAAGGAATACCTGAGGCATTGTAGGCGTACCAGAGCAAATCGGAAAGCAGACTGCTTGTCCACATACCAGCAACGTATGTATCTTCTTTGCGCCATTGCAGTTCTCGTTCAGCTATAGCAGCAATTGCCGGTAACCGATCGTTCTCGTACGTCAACTTTAAACCGGAATAGGTAGTGACTATTTGATGCCAGCGGCTGACTGGATCGTCATTGGATTCCCAAATTCTATCAGTTTTCCAGCGTTGTTCGATAGTAGAGCCGCCTTCTGTCATGAATACAGTAGGGCATTGCCAATACATCTGCATAGTGAGTTAGTCGTTCGACATAGTACCCTAAACGAGCAAAAGACGATCTTTCCTGTTTCTAAGCTGCCAATTCGGCTCAAAGATACCCCGGTACCGTTCCGTGAGTCAAATACTATGGGTGTCCCAAGGATGCGAGCACTATAGCTTACCTGATCTTTGCCAAAATGAACCATTCGTGGCGATAAGAGTCGCTCTTGATACACCCAAGCCCTAGTCAGAAGCGGAAAGCCCTTAGAAGGGAACTTAGGGAGAGGGAACCTGTCCGGTTTCTCCCGTACGTATAGCTCGCAATTCCTTAATTTCTGGGCTTTAAATCTTTCCCGGTCTAACGCGAACAGACCAGAGTGGCTGTTGCTAGCCGTTGTAGCTGCAATGGTAAGATGAGCCTGTTCATAGATATTTGCCATCGATGCTGCTGCTTCTTCCCAGTCGTCTCTGTCGTCCTGCATGATGCCTGAACATACGAGCTAAAGTTGCCTATGTTACATGGTGATGACGGGGCAGGATAACTTACAGCAGGCGTCAATCCAAACAAACCTAATACCAAGCCTCTTGCATAGTTGAGCCGCGTGTGCGAAGGTTTTCGGCAGCTGACCGATAACTATACCGTCCCTCAGACGCCCGAAAGACGTCTTGTCCAATCTAATTTGTGGGACCTGTTGCGCCCCAGCAATGGCTCAGACAAGCGTACATGGCTGGTGTGTTGACTCTTTCGCGAAGATAAACATGCGCACCTTCTATCTCGAGGATTCGTTTCGGAAGTGGTGTGATCTTACGTCCAGCGCAATCACTATGATGCTCAACACAGGTTTCAATCCAATTGTGCAATGTTTGCAGAGCTCGGTCTGACGACGTGTCTTCCGATGGCAGTTTCCTTGTAGGTATGCGTGTTCTCCAGCGCGAGTAATTGCGCGCGACCTTTGATGTCTGACCTGTATGAGAGTTAGAAACCACAGACTCAAATCGAATTCTTAGCCCTTTCACCCAAAAGACAGTCCACTCACAGACACCCTGGATTCTCAGGTCTATCCTAGGGCGAAAGCGTGATCAATCGAATACCCATTCCTCTCACCAAAACGAGACATGCACACATTTACACGACTCACCTTCCAATTGAAATAGCTCCAGCTCTGCTTCGCAAAGCTCTGACTCGTTAGACCCCTCGCCTGCATCCAGGCCTGGCCGATAGATGATTGTTATTGGCTCCTCTCCCGGTAGCACTTCAATCTGATCGATGTTATCAATTGATAGTCGCCCACTGCTGTAGGAAACGATAGCGTCAAGCACAATGTTACAATTATGGCAACCAGCAGCAGCCCCGAGTCGAAGTCCCGAGATAGTGTTGAGACTCGGGATTGGGTCTGGCTTCTTTACGGCTTCCCTAGAACCCCTTCTTCTTCGAAAAAACAGATACTTCGACGTGAATAGGTTTCTCGTACAACAACCCTTGTGGCTTTTCTCAATCTTCTCGGTTTGGGCGACAGACGGCGCAAGAACAGTCGAATCCAAATTCGCCGTACATTCCTCAGTCGTGTCCACGGATCCACTATCCAGATCCTGGGTATCCATCGCGATAAGGGATCGGAAGCCAAGAAACGTATAGGCCAGCAAAAGAGTGAAAACGAAGCTGCGATAGAAACAATCCCATTGCGCTCAGGAGGATAGCAGCCAGGAGGCCGCCAAGAGGCGGGGCAGCATGCATCCTCGCGGCACGGGCGATGATGCAGTCCTGTGGCACATGCTGATTGCAGGTTCCGATGCCGGTGACCGCGTCGGGAGCGGTTGCTTGTATTCCCTGGTAGAACGATGAAGGTCTGGAGAGACTGATTGTGACGGTAGGATGGACGAGAAGGGGACGCGGTAGGTGTACGCGCTAAAACGCGCCAGCCATCCAAGGCTCTTTCCGTCACCGAGGAAGGAGCGTTCGCAGTCTTCAACAACTCCATCATCGCACATTGGCGAACACCTTCTCGCACAGTATACTAATTCATTGATTCGTCTATCATAGACGCGTTACTTCATATATGTCATCCCCAGTCATCTTTACCAGCATTCCACTCGCGTGTTGGCCTTCCATTTCCTCCCCCCTTCCCAACAAACAATAAACATATCAGAACTCCACCGACGCCTTCGTGTGGCTCATTTCGAGCATATATAGGCGTGAAAATAGTGATAAGAGAAATGCAAATGATATACGAGAAGCAAAGTTCCGTCCGACACCATACCCCGTTGCGTTCCTCATGCGCAGAGCAGATGTTCCTTCCCTCAGCCCAACTATAGTATCTCCTTCAGCTTCTCCTTTTGTGCGCTGGTCAAGCTCGTGGGGAACTTGATCTTTACGCCGACGATGAAGTCGCCGCGATCTGAGGGTTTCTTGGACTTGGGCATGCCGAGGTTGGGATATCGTTCTGTCCAGGTAGGACCTGTGGGACCGCCGCTGCCAACGCTGAGTTGTTTGCCGTCGATGGTTTGGACGGTTCGGCGCCAGCCGGTGAGGGCTTCTTTGAGGTCGATTTCGATTGTGTGTTTGACGTCGTCGCCTTCGCGGGTGAACATTGCGTGGGGTTTCTGTGGCGTCGTTAGTACCGGTCTTTGCGTAAATTGGGAATGGAAAGACTTACCTCAGAGACGATGAAGTGCAGATCTTGTGTGCCACCCTCTACCTGGTCGCCGACGTCTGAGAACTTGATCTTGCTGCCAGCCTTCAGCCCCTTCTTGATGGGTACCTCCAGAATCCGGTCTTGCGTGCTTTGCTTGCCGGTACTCTGGTCGTATGTCTTGCGCTTGATCTTGAGCTTCTTCGTGGTGCCATTGTACAGCTCCTCCAAGCTCACCGCAAGCGGCTTCTCCACGACTGTGACTTCAGGCTCTGGTGCTCGTCGTCCGCCGCGGAACCGGCCGCCTTTTCCACCTCCACCGCCGCCACCGCCCATACCACCACCCATTCCGCCAGGCATACCGCCCATACCAAAGCCGCCAAAGTCAAAGTCATCACCGCCGGCGCCGCTGTTGCGCATGAACTCGCCAAAGATGTCGTCGGCGTTGGAGAAGTTGAAGCCGTTTCCGCCGCCGCCGCCCGTCGAGAAGTGGAACGAGCGTGTGCCGCCAGGCATGCCACCCGAAGATGCGAAGGGGAAGCCTCCGCCGCCTCCTGCGCCCGCGAATGGGTTACCACCAGCACCTCCAGCATCTTCAGGGTGTGGTACGCCGCCGCGTAGTATGAATTCGAGCCCGTATTGATCGTACGTTTTGCGCTTCTCGGGGTCGGAGAGGATCTCGTAGGCTTGTGAGCATTCTAGATGTGCTGTTAGCATACTCTATCCAGTCTATATGAGCTAGTGAGGCAATGTGCATACCTTTGAACTTCTCAGCAGCTTGCGGGTTGTCCTTGTTCTTGT